AAAAGCTCTAAAACGTCCAGAATCCTGCTAAAAACTGAAAAATCTTCCTTACAGAAGTGAAGCAACCGGAGTTGAACGGGAGTTGAGATTTTTGTTAAGAGAGTTAGAGTTGGAGTTGAAAAATTGTAAGCGTAGTTGGGGTTGGAAATTTGAAAACGGAGTTGGAGTGGAGTTGGAGTTGAAAGTCAGGGGAGTTGCCCAGCCCTGGTAATGCATCATAGTTTAACTTTGATAATGGTAAGACGGTCGAACCATTGTAATAATAATAGCCCCAATTATAGCCCGTCAACTGTAAAAGTTTCAGTTCTTAGTCTTATGTCGAGAGAGATTTATAGCAATATACACAACATTAATATACAACATATAAGTACATGTACAATATCAAAACTGATTGATAAAAGAAACTGTTGAAAATTATTAATACATTCAAATAGTCTTTTCCTCGAGCTAAATGCGAAGTAAAACAAATAAAAGACTTAATATTCAATTTTCATGAAACATTCATAGAATGTCGGTTGAAAAAACCAAATATCCGAATGAGTGTTTTTCGACATAGACTGATAAGAGTACATTTTTAAATTTTTGCTTTAAGATATTTCTACTCTCATGTCAAATTAAAAAAACTGGAAAAGCTTTTCTGATACACTGCAATTTGGAATTAATTTCTAGTTTATAGAAAATCGATCTGGAAAATCGTGGAGATCTTTCTGATATTTATAAAATGGTAGATTTTCTGAATTTTTAGAAATTCGAGATTTTCTAGAAACTGACTTTTCATTTTATTCAAAAAATCGCCATAGAATTTCCAAAAATATCAAAATTCGGCGTCGATTTTATAAATACTGGAAATTCAAGTTGGATTTTTTAATATTCTAGAAAATCGATTGATTTTCTATAAATAATTCCCAGGATTCTTGAAATTTGAAATCGATTTTCAAGATAGTTGGAAATTCGATGATACGGTATACGTGGTCCAGTCATATTATGTGCAAGTCATATAAGTAAATACTTTTGTGTGAATAAAATTAAGCAAAAATTCTACTAGGGATCTGATACTTGAAGAAAGGTTAAGCTCTTCCAACAGAGATTGTTGATTTAACACATCCATTTAAAGCTCACAGATGTTTATAGTCTATTACATTCTTGGCAGTAGGCATGCCACGGTTACGGTTAACCGTAACCGTAAATAACCGCTTTTTAACAACTCAGTTTATATTTGATTTTTAGTTCGTTGATATCGGTTTACATTAGAAGTAGACAAGGATGGTCTTTGTCTTGACGTTCTAGTGCATCTACTAATAAATTTATGAAAATTCTAGGGAATAGGTAATCGACTATGAGGAATCCGAAAATGAGTAAAAGTGTGAGAATATCGATCCTCTAGTGGCTAACTCTAATCGTAGTAGTGAAGCTATAGTGAGAATCAACTCTCACTCCGATATCTTTATTTGAAGCAAATGAACAGCTATATATAGTACAAAGTTAAACAAGAGTTGCTCATGAATTACATAACAACAGAAATAGTTAGGAAGATCACAGACTGACGAAACTGTTGTGCAAGAACAGAAAGAATGGGAAAATACACAAAAAGCTCTCATGAGGAACAAGAAACTCAACTGCACAGGCTCTATGTAAGTACTAGGTTTAGGATGACGATCAGTATTTCGGAAATAAAAAGCGTGTGTTATGAAACGAAGAAGGTATTTATGAAATTATGTGCAATCATTGATAGTTTTCTCGTCTGGCAGCTGAATAATAAACGCAAAACACCTTCACATAAATTTCTCCTAAACTGGTTTAACCAAGCAACATGAAAGCGTTGAGGAGAGGGTTTGTGGGTCTCGTAAACCAGAAAAACAATACTTGTAGGTTGCACTTTCATAAACGCAGTTTTCAACTTTTAAAAATTAGCAAATTCTTACGTAAACGTTTTATTTCTGTGTGTAGGAGAAATATTTGTGGAGATGGCTCTCTGGCGTGTAGGATAGCTGATTAAAAGAGAATATCAGAACACAGAAACCCTTTCCCCCAATATCTCGCAAGTTTTTTGTTTTTATCTCTTGCAATTAGTAAAAAGTTGACTTGAAGAACTACTTCGTACCGCAGGTTATTATTTCAGGATCAAGAAGCTCAAACCTCTAAACGTAGCTCAATTATGAAATTTAGTAAAGGTGCCCATCTGCACAACAGGAGCCTGCAAGAAAAGGACAAAAAAATACTTGACTTTTATTGTCGGGAAAAATAGTTAAGAGGTTTTTCTGCCCATTCACAGCAGGACTAGTCTGCTTTGTCGACATATTTTGCAGTTATTAAGTGCAAACTGCTCTTTGATGGATCTGACCTCATCCTTCTCCATCATTGCTACGTAAATACGAGAAACAATTGCGTTGATATCCGCTTAATCAAACTAGCGCCACTGAAGACGATGTTGTATTTGTTTTTGTCGTTCTGTTTGTACTCGTGTTAGGTCACGAGACCTAAAATGCACAGAGATACTGTAGCGTCAGTATACTACTGCGTGTTTATATAGAAGAAACATTTCCTTTCCAGGAAATGTATTTCATATAGTCACTATCTCATCATGCCATCCTGTGACACCATTGTATATATTACATCACTGTTTATATTACATCATGTTTTCTGTTACGTTCTTTTTTCCTTTCTTTCTCGCCTATATATATATATACACAGGCATATACTGTACTAGGGGTGCCTTGGCTTTCTTAATAAAGATTTGTACACACAAGTGAAGATTCATACACGTTAGGTGGAACCTAACAATTGGTGCACTAGCCGGCTCACTGTCAATCCAAGATCACAGTAAGTACAAGCGAGACAAATAATCCAATCATTACCACTAGCTGGTGGTAATTTTATATGCCAGTGCGAACAAGAGCGCAACATTACGAATTAGAGCGCAACGCAGAGGAACAACTTGGTGACGAATTAGAGCGGTTAGGAGGTATTGAAGTCGAGCAAAGTAATAATCCACGTCAGCAAGCACATATCGTTTATCGTCCAATACAGTTCATCATGGCCGAGAAACTAGTAAATTCGATTCTCTCAAAAAGTTTAGAACAGCTACCGAAGTTCAGTGGCACAATAACTGATGATGTAGATAAATGGATAATTGATATTACACACGAATTAAATTTAGTCAAACTGGATGATTCACACAAACTGGCCGCCATTCAAACGTATCTCGACGGTGATGCACGACGATGGTATACTAACAATCTGCAGATGATGCATAACTGGGCAACCTTCTTACGCGAATTACGTGCGACGTTTTCATCATCATTTTCTAAAGAAGCAGCCATTAAACAAATTGGAAATCGCCAGCAACATATTAATGAAACCGTCTTGCATTATTACACAGATATGATGGAACTGGCAAACAGAATCGATCATCAAATGAACGACGAACTTAAGGTGGCGTACCTGACAACAGGCTTGAAAATATCACTGAAAAAAGAAGTGCTGCGAAACAAACCGCAAACCCCAGCTGAATTTATCAAATATGCACAAGACGAAGAAAAACTGGACTCCTCCATTACAACACAAATATCAAATGATAATCGTCTTACAATACCGATAGATTATGTCGCGTCGTCAGTCAGAAGTCCGCTCTTAAGAGCTTCGAATAATCTGTCTTCATTTAGACAGCAACATCGACAGTCGTATTATCCAAGTCCTCAATATTATTCGGCAAACCTGACTGACAACTCACTGGTCTAGTGAACGTCTGAATCCTCGTGGAATCTTCCGTTGTTTCTTTCAAATATAAGTCCAACTGGTACTCCGCTATTCTATTGCTTACTATCCTACTACTTCATCATTTATCAAACAGTTTAGTATCTCAGTTTAAGACATTCTTCTATTCTGTATTATTCTTACAGAAACTGATGGTTTCCATTCCATATGGTTTGCTTTCAGATAATTCGTTTAAACGCTTTTCTACTGAAAATTTTTTAGAAAAAGCGTTTTGTTGCTTTTATATCTACTTTAAATGTGTTTCATGTTGAGGAAACGTCTTTATGTGTGAACAGCGTTCGAACGTTTTTGTCAAGAGTGTGAATGTGTAACGCGAATTTAATACTTCGAATAAGGTTGAATTGTTGAATGCGTTTGACAATGTTCTAGTGTTAACCTACGTTGTTTTGGAAAAGGTTCCAGCAGCATTTAGAAACGTTCTTATTTCTAGCCCTAGACAAAAAAATTTGATAATTTTTGATAAGATGCTTATCAGAATCTTACAAAAGTCTTATATAAGAAAGTCACACGAGATGGACACTTTTTTCGTAAGATTCTGCTTTAAAGATTTAAGTAGAGTCATTTTCCATGCATAGCCGGGCAAGTCAAGTCAAAAAAGTCTCAATTACAGTTCAAGCCAAGTTAGACTTGAGAAAAATTTTTGGGTCCTCTGACTTGACTGACTTGCACAGTCTTTTCGTTAATTTGAGAGTTGAAAAAGATCCTGACTTGCGCAGACCTGTGTTGTACAAAAACAGGGGAAAAACGAGTTTCGAGCAAATACCAGTATATACTTACATTAAGGCACAAAACGTCTGAAGTCCGATATGGATATTAACTGTAGACAAAAGTTTATTTCTTTTCGCTTCATTGATTCTTTATTAAGGATGAGTGATAGAAAAATTAACAATGGGAGAGAGAGGGAGATATTGAACGCATACAAAGAGAGCGTGAATGAATACGACACACAATGGAGCGAGAGATCAACCATGGTAAAGAGAGTGATAGTTATTAGCCACTGGAAGAGCCGCTCAGAGTCATTGTGCTCGGTTGTGCAACAGATTCAGATCAGTTGCCAATAAAGAAGAAGCAACTCTATTTCTACACTCAGTTTGTTACACTAGTCTAACAATTCAGTTTGACAACTTGGCAGCTGGGCTATTTAATCGAATTATAGAACGCAATACGCTCAGTTGATAAAGCCAGTCAACCAGACATCAAAATAGCCCCTCATACTAAACTCTTATTCACATGGGACGAGTGAATTATGAGAGAATCAGTAAATAATAAGTAAGTATTAACATAATAAAGCAAGTACATTCAGTTGAGCAAAAAAGACACGTGGCTTTCCTAACGAAGCTGTTCCTCAATCCTCAACTGGTAATGAACATTTCTAGGCCGTGTGAACGGTGTCGCTTCTAAACTTGGTTTAACTAACCGAGGAAGGAATGATATGGGAAGAAAGTAGATTTAACTTTCCCTGATGAAGTAGACTCAAGCCTCATGCAAAAAGCAAGGAAATAAAATAGTCATCTGTAACGATCTGTCATTTACTGGTTTCTGTAATCAGCCAATAACAGCCGCGAAACAGTAGCTCTATTCACATAAATCGCATGTTTCAGATAGACAAAGTCTTTTCGATAACTATCTCAAGATTAATAGATATTTGCTGCAAGTTGTTTATCGGCTTTTCCCACATGTTCTTATTTCATTCAAGATGTGTTTAATGTAATACGAAACCCGTAAGGTTTTGTGGAATTTCTACTAAACCTTCAGCGCTACGAAACCACTTCGCCAATTTCGTATACTCTGTACAAAACCTTGTGGAAAAAAATTCTGTTTTGAGGTTTTGTACTGTCTAACAAACCTTCTGAATTCTGAAATTTCACTACTAAACCAGTAAAAGTTTCGAAAAATACACGAAACTTTAATGCTTTAGTATGGAAACTTTCCTTTTAGAGAGCTAAAAGGATAACTCAACTGATCTAATCTGTAACAGTTTCGGTGCGGCTATTTATTCATCTGGACTCCACGTGACTACTGTCTGTACCAAAATAGAATGGACTCCGTTGTTTTTCTAATAACTTTTGATAGAAGCCAGTTAGAGCGCTTCGACTTTCGCCATAAGAAAGCGGAGACTTGGGGGCATGTTTTTATAAGCAGAAACTTTTTCAGAAGTGTTTTCTAAAACAGCTTTTCTAGGAGATCTTTGAAAAACCAGGTCGCGTGTAAAAACTTTTTAATAGGATTGTACTGATTTTCCTCCATGGTCTGATAGTCCAAGGTGTCTTCTTCAAAATGAGAGTAGAGCGAAATCTTGATTTTCTGCGGCTCTAGTGTTGTGTCGGATTTCCTACGAGTCCTAGGACTGGCACCCACTGACCATTGATAGTCTTGAAAACGGATGGACTATAGGTAATCGATCATGCTGAGTCTCGTGGCAGTAGTTATTTCTAGAAAAAGTTCTAAAAGTCTACCGAAAAGCCAGTTTTACGAAAATTTGGGTTTCCCGACTGTTTTCACCTAATATTAAAAGATTCACTATTCGCTCAAAACTTATTTCTTGTATAGTTTTATGAAGCAATTCTAGTTTAAAAGGTGCCGTAAATGATTCTTTTATTATAAGTAAGGGAGACCACTTTCTTGTTAAAGTAATTAAAAGCAAGGGAATATGGGAAGAGAACATCTAAGTTAAAGAATGATATTGTAAACGAATTAGGCTTACCAAATGTTCATTAGCGCAAAATCGACTTTTTATACGGAGACCAGAATCGGTTCAAATTTTTTTTCTGAAGAGCTTATTATATGAATCGACGATCAGCAAAGTATCAACGCCGCTACTATTCGTGCCAAAAGGCGAAAAGTGATTTGAATCAAAAGATACTTTGCTGATCGTATAGACAGTGTTTATAAACCTCAAGCTTTATTACTTGATATTGTTCGACTGAAAGGATCACACTCAGCTGAACATATTCGAAACGCGACCGAGCAAATACTGGATCGCCTTAGTATCAATGACAAAGTTTATAAAATCATTACTGATAATGGCTCATCAATGATTAAAGCAGATAAATTTGGTCTATGAAGCCAGCTAGAGAGCTCCGGCTTTCGCCATAAGAAAGCGGAGACTTGGGGGCATGTTTTTATAAGCAGAAACTTTTTCAGAAGTGTTTTCTAAAACAGCTTTTCTAGGAGATCTTTGAAAAACCAGGTCGCGTGTAAAAACTTTTTAATAGGATTGTACTGATTTTCCTCCATGGTCTGATAGTCCAAGGTGTCTTCTTCAAAATGAGAGTAGAGCGAAATCTTGATTTTCTGCGGCTCTAGTGTTGTGTCGGATTTCCTACGAGTCCTAGGACTGGCACCCACTG